AGATATATAATGTCTTTCATTTTGGTTGGTTGGTAATTTTAAAATTAAATTGTTAAAGCTCTTTGAGGCTTAATATGATGACTAGTCAAGATAATTAAGTTGGGGAAATGAAATTAAAAAAGTAGCAACTGAGCAATTTGTGTTGACGAGTGACGGATTTTAGTGGTTGCTGGAAATATGGTTGATTTTGCAGTTTTAATGCTTGGCACTTCGGTTCATGAATTTGTTATGTAAAATTTGTTGAATAAAAACGTAAATTACAATCGTTTGATCAAAAGCTCAAACTGAATCACTGACAGTAAACCAAAATGTCATTTTTTGATGGACTTCCCACATCAAGTCTTTACCTTCGAATTAAAACTCGCTCAAATGATTTATTGTCTTGATTTAAGAACAATTTGGTGGAATACACGTGAGCAAACAGGAATTCTACTTTATATTAGGGCTACTATGGCTATAAACTCTAAAATCATAAATTTAAAAAAATCATTTTACAAAATGGTGTCTTCAAAAATTTGAATTTAAAACCGTCAATTACTATTTTTTGTAGACCAAGAAATCCAAAGCAATACAAAGAATCAAGGATTTCTCCATCAAATGCCCAACAAATTCACCATAAATGCGTCTTCTAAGTCCACTAAAACCACTTCTAATCTACTCAATATCCCTCCACTCCAAAACAAAGAAGGAAACCATGATACGAGGATATATTTTTATTTCATTGCACAAAATAAAAAGTAAATAAGAGATTTTCTCTTAACGATCCTTTAACACAAATAACTGCTGTTTCTTCTTAGTTTTACGCTTTTTGTGCTGATGACTGCTGTTTATTCTTATATCATCATGAGGTAACAGTAACACAGTGAAATTAGAAATATAAAAAAAAGTGAAGAAATCGAGAAGGAACAAAAAAAAGTTTTTCAACTTATCGCTTGCTTTACTTTTTGTTGCTTCTCGTCTTGATAATAAGGGAGAGTAAGGCAATGTCCTTGTGATAGTTTTAGGATGAAATTGTCGGGGAAGAAGAGCATTTTGAAGAGGTAGAGCATGCATAAGTTAATGAGTCAGTTTAGTGTGGTTGAAGGAGGTTTGTCTTGTACAGTAGGATGGGGTTTAGTCTATAACCACGTACCTAGCATGTTTTGAGAGATTTTGCTTACTATCGAGTAGTAAGAGTGGTTTTTTGAGTTCTAGGCACCTTGAAAATGCCAAATTACCCAGAAAAATCCAAAAACTCATGACAAATTCCCACAAATTCACCACAAAGACTTCCATTCCCTTTTATAATGACAACATCTCCAATTACTTGCAAATGGTTACGGGTGGAATGAAAAAAATCTTCAAAGTTTTCATTCTCTTTTTTTGTGAGCTTTGCTTCCTTTCAAAAAAATGTCTTAAACACGCGACTCAAACTTTTTTTAATACCTTAGCTAGTCTTATACACATGTGTATAGGTACCAATGTATGTAGCTTACGAAAGTCAGAAGAAATCAAAGTTAAATACAAGCGTGCTCCAAACTTGTTAAACATTTTTTTTTCTTCATTACAACTTAAAAAATATAAGCAGAAGAAAAAAAACATTTTCAACGTTAATGATGAAACTTTTCCTATTTACGAGACTGAAATCAGGTATGGCATGTATGCAGTACAAATGAAAAACTTTTCTTCTTTCTTTTTTTGTACTTTTAGCATTGTAATTTTACTCATTCATGTGAGTTTTGTATGTTTGACAATGCATAAAAATTCCACACACTGAATATATAGAATGGATGTGAATGGGAATGGGGTATGACTTATCAATATCAATTCTCAAAGTTTTCTGCAAATAACTCTCGTTTGTATTATGAAGAATTTTATATTGAAGAAAAAAAAATGTTAAGCATGCAGTTTGTATTCATTTATTGTTCGTAGACTTGAGACATAGCTAAATCATAAAAAGAAGTTCATGAAGTTAATATTAAATTGTGTTTGTTTGAGAAAAAGGTGAGACACTGGGAGATGTAAAGATTCATTTAATTGACAGCATTAGTGAAGCTTTTTTTAGTGACACTATAAAGCAGTGGTGTCCAACCTTTTTTTTGACACGGTTCAATTTTTGGAAAACCATGACCAAAACCGTACACAGCACACGGTTTGTGGGATATTCAAAATTGGTTCACGGAACACAGGTTGACCATCACTGCTGATTTCAATGTAGATGCTGAGGATTAATCATTATTGCAGTAATTTAAAAATTCACAGGTATCAGGGCCACTTGAATTCTGATCTAAGATTTAAGATACATAATGATTAATTGGTATAAGCTAGAATGACTAAAATTCTCAGTGTTGAACTTCCTTCTTGAATATACCAAGACTATATCATTGTCAGTTAATGTTTGTGCCTAGTTAATATTGCTATTGTCTTTAGCTATTGTCTATAGCTCAAATCTGATCTGTTTGGTTCGACTTTTTATATCCAAAGGTTACACAAATTGTCTAGCTTTGCCTATGGTTGCAACCCTGTCTAATTATTTGTTTTCCCAAAGAAATCTTAACTCTCAAAAATCCCTACAATAAAAAGTCATAGCATCATCTTTTCCTTTTTTATTTCAACAAAGTTTTTTTTAAGTAGAACAGCAAATAGAAATTATTATTTTTTATGAGCGATTCAATCTTTATTTCCTTTTATTCTTCATAGTATTTCATAATATCTATCAAGATTTTAGTGGTATTCATAATTTTTGTACATTAAAAACTTCTCTGTCTAAGGGAAACAGCCACAGATATCAACTTTCTGTAGGGAACTAATAGTTATGCCAGTGATAAGGAAATAAGAGAAGAAGAAGAAATTTTATAACCATTTTTTTATTATATTTCATTTGAAAAAGGGATGAAAAATTATAAAAAGAGAGAATGAAGATATAAAAGCAAGTCATTTTCATAAATGCAAAGAAATGAAGAAACTGAACGAAATATGATATTATAGTTGGGATTTAATTTAATTGAATTTTAAAAGCTTCTTTCTCCTGTTGCGAAAGCAATCTACTTATGTTTGGAAGTAATAAAATGAAAATGAAAGAAAGCATAAAGTGTGATTCAATTATAAGCTCATTCATCATGAATTGAATTCAGTTCCAGCTACATTCTGCCTTTTCAGTCTTTTTTTGGTGAGCATTTAAAATAATTGTGTTATTGTTTTTATTCAAGCGGATTGGGTTGGTAGAACTTTTTAAGTTGTATAATTCAAAAACTAAATAAGATGAAAAGTTCAAAGTTTTTGTAGCTAGTTCGTGCCACTTTTTTGAATCTTTTTGTATATCTTGTCTTATTTTAACTTGTTATAATGAGGAAAAAAAGCCAAAAAACTTTTTGATGTGGAGAAGAAAAGTTGGTATGTGTCTTGGATAAAGAGAAGACATTTGAATTTATAGAAACTATTTTTTGCAGCTAGCTTGTGCCACTATTTAGAATCCTTTTGTAAATGTTGCCATATTTAATCTTGTTTAAATGAAGAAAAAATTCCAAAATACTTTTTGTGGTGGAGAAAAAAAGTGGTTTGTGTCTTGGATAAAGATAACACGTTTGAATATTTAAATATCGTTAAAATTCTATTTCAAAATTTCAAACTATCAAAATAAAATGCGCAATATTTATAAATCAAAACCAAATTAATTTCAATTTCAACTTTTTAAACACACAATAGAAAGAGATTTCAGTTGAACAATGCATTGCAGATGAAATATGGCTTCCAATGTTCTTAATGTGTTACAACAAGAATTTCCAGAATTGCAATTGTAATTTCAAAAATATCTCTTTTAGAAAATATCTTTTTTTCCTCCTGCCCTGTCAGAAAAAGTTGAAAAATTGCTATTGCAATATATTCACTAAAATCGATTAAATATTTAAATGAATATTCAAACAATCCATTGAGTCACTAAAATATGTATACATGCATATGTGATAGTGAGGTAGAGAGTTTAGAGTATTTATTAACTTTGACCTACACAGACGGAATGGATTTGAAATGTTTTTATTAAATATTCATAGCAATTTAGTTTTAAATGGATTTAATAAAGTTTTTATGGTTGAAAATATTTTCGGATTTGTTGGAGGTTTGAACTTTTTGATGGATGAAACTTGGTTAGGTTTTTAATTGATTTTTTAAAACTGCGGTTTTAAGTTTTATATTTTGTAATACCTTGAATATGTTTTTTAAAGATTTAATTTCTATAGTTCGCAATTGATGGCTGATTCAGGGGAAGATGTGAAGGTGCTTGACCTTTTGCTTCCTCCTTTGGCCGTTATTTCTAAATATATGTACTTGTCCTTTCTCTTAAGCCCTAGATTATATCCTAGTTGATGAAACTATGTTCTGGTCACCTCCGACTTGCTATGGAAATGCATTCTTACAAAAGTTCTCTAGCAATCCAATTTTATCTTGAGAAGGGGTTACTCCTCGCATAGACTACACCTCAAACTCTTCAAATTGAACTTTAATCCCTCTCCCTCTTCCTGTATTGCTCAAACCGCGCAATCACAAATTCAAAGCATTTCAATCGATTTTCAATAATCTAAATCACAAACATCACCTCAAAAATCATCATTTAAATCCCATTCCATTATTATCGACTGATTTAATTAAAGTCATATATCGAGAAAGAAATCTCAACGGGCAATAAATTTTCCAAAGTAAAAGCAGTAAGCAGCAATGAAAATTCCCTATCTAAATAGACTGGACAAGCACACCCAAAGAACTATAAATTAGAAAGCTGTGATTCAAATAGCTTGATATATAAACACACATAAAAGGTAATCAACATTTTGTATACACTAAACGATAACAGTCATACAAGTACAAACCCATGCATATATGAACATAAATTTCACAGTCGGTCAACGATAACACTTCTGTGATTACACATTTGTGGGCATTTAAGAATTAATTAATTCTATACTGAGAAACTCACGAGTTTCCGGCTCGAATGGCTATAAATACTTAATGACTATCAAAATCTCCTCGACAGTCATTGTGTTCGGTTCTGTTACTTTATTTTGTGGCATAGACAAATAAAAAAATGAAAGTTTTTGCAATTTTAATTCTGTTTGCTTTCACTTTTGTGAACTGCCATAAACTTATTGAGAAATATTCGTGGCGTGAACTCGAGTTTGTGTGGCCCACTGACGAAAGTCGACAAGAAGCACTCTTCAATGGCAAATATGTACCGAGCAATAATTTACCACTGGCATTCGATGTGTGGAGAGATAAAATTTTCTTAACTGTTCCCAGGTGTGTATGAGAATTTCCTCTCGTTATTTATGACAACCTTTAATACTATAAATTATGCTTCTTTCCCTATTTGTCTTATCTATCTTCTTCTATGTTACTTCCGTGTCTTGTTGCTATTCCTGCTTATATTACACAACTTAATGGAGATGGAAGACGGGAGTTGCAAGCACGTTGAATTTTATTGATATTTCAAATGAGAAGTCGCCCGTCTTACATCCCTATCCGAATTTCTCGATGAATCAACTTCCAGAGAGCACCAGTGATGGAAATAATGATGGAGATGGAGACGAGCAACAGCATCCGAACATAATTTCCGCTTTTGGCATTCGAGGTAGGTAATTCATCTCAATTTGTATGACGTGGTTTGTTATTTCTTTATTTTTTTTGTGTGGGGCGAGAAGCATTTTTGTGAAGATGAATGGGAAAATTGGGCTGCTTTGACTTGTTGGCATGGACTATGTACTTAAATTGCAGGTAGAAGATTGTTTTGGAGGAAATAATTTGTCGTCTTTGATGGAATATGTGAAATTTGGCTTAGTTTTAAAAAAGGATTATCGAATTAAAGCATGAGGTAAGGCAAGAGGAGCTCAAGAGTGTCTTGGTGTTGACATGTTCTTGATCAAAGGATTTGTTTGATTGACAGAACTGAGAATTACTACACTTGCTTACTTACTTCGCTAGTCGTACAGATCAATTGTGATCCATGACATCGCTTAGTCGTCTCTTAAAACTAGTCTCTATCGCTGGCCACCGTCTGCCAATTGCCGATTCCAAATGCAACACTGTCTCTATCAACAGGCTATTTCGATGAGTTCTTTGACCTTCAACGTGATCTTTTTCCATCTACAAAATCGGATTTGAATTATTTCACCACTTGAAACATAAATTTCCATCAAGTTGTTATCCCCCTGGACTTAACCTATAGATATATAGGTCCTTTAGGGTTTACTTAAGGGCTAGTCAGGCTTCTTCAGAATCAAGAAGCTACAACATATACTCTGGGGTATGTGACTTGAGAAAGTTGTCACTGGTACCCAAAAAAATCAGCCTTGGGTCTAGACAAGGTCTAGGTTGGCTCCAAATCAGTGCAGTTTCAATATTCACATCCAACTCTGTATCACATCTCATTCAATTCGGTGCCAATTATGCTAAAGCATTATAAAACCTTCAAAACAGTCATCGTTAAACTATCGGTACATCTTCTGCTTAGTTCATCAATATTTTTGCCAAAATTCATCAAATATCCTTCAAATTAATTGAAAATTTATCAGATTCATTCCAACAATTTTCGACAATAAAGGATATAACCATCCAGTATGAATGATATAGAAATAAATTGGATAGATACCATCAGCAACAATGTCCACATATTCCATCACAAAACTTTTCTTTCTCATTTTTCATCACATCCGAAATCAATCTTGACTCAACAAGAAAAACATCTCTTTTTTTTTCATTCCAGTTGACGAATGTGATAGATTGTGGATTGTCGATAGTGGCTTGTCAGATTTACTTGGGCAAACGGAAAAGTTTCAAAATCCCTCAGTTTTCATCTTTGACTTGAAAACTTCGAAACTATTGAGAAGATTTGAGATTCCCGAAAAACAGAAGAAAGCTGACTCGTTCTTTGTCAATATCGTAAGTTTATTCACACAGAACGTGTAAACAGCAGGAATATAATAGCTTGCGATATTGTTATTATGTATGAAAGTTCAAAGTTTTGTTGTCGCTTATATCCAGGGGGGAAACAACATGGTGTGTAAATTTGTTATTGAGAAATTTAGCACCAAAATTTTAATTAAGAATCGATGAAAAATTGATGATAAAAAATATTTCCCCATCATGTTGTTTCCCCCCCATGCTTATACACAATACCACCGTAACAAAAATTCCCTAATTGCATTTCAATCAAGTCAAAGTTTCTCTTTTGTTCTATTCTATTCTTTATTCTAGTACGTTGATGTGCAGCACACAAAATGCGGCGAAACTTTCGCTTATATAGCCGATATTTATGGCTATGGTATTATCGTTTATGATTATCAAAGTGATAAGTCGTGGCGTGTCAATCATAACTACTTTTTGTTCGATCCAATACAAGGAAATTTGAATGTAGCCGATGTTAATTTTCAATGGCATGATGGTGTATTTGGAATGGCTTTAGGTGATGTTAGGAATGAACATGGGTAAGTAGACGAGAGAGAAAGTTTGAACAAGAGTGCATCTCCGGATGCCAAACTACATTGAACTTTTGTTCATTGCTCTTTTTTGTTATAAATCGTATTGTCTGATATTTTGAGATGAAACTGGGGATTGACTTGGATATGTCTAGATGGGAAATGTGTTGAAATTTTTTTTTGTGTTTTTGAGGTTATGATGTGGGATCCACATTGTGGGAACAATATAATGTAGAATGTTCAAATTCTTTGGAAAATATCAGGATTTTAAGTTTCAAATTTTAACGACTTATTAAAATTCATTTTAACGACTTTTTTAAATTTAAACTTTAACGACCTTTTTAAATTCAAATTTTAAACGGTTTTCTATTTGAATCTTAATCCAAAATTTTCAAATATTTTTAACCTAACCAAAACTGCGTTCAAAACTCTCCTATTATCCAAAACCATAACCTCAAACTTAATAGATTTATTCTAGTAATATCCCTCACTACATATTTGCTATTCCTTTTCACATTATCTATCCATCCAGTGATCGAACAGTATACTTTCATGCTCTCGTCTCAACAAACGAGTTTTCAGTCGAGAATTCTGTGTTAAAAAATGAAAGTTTCTCTACGAGTCCAGCAGCATATCATTCATTTAATTTGCTCGGCAGTCGTGGCACCAAGACTCAATCGTCTGCAGAAGTTTACGATGAGATAACAAATGTTATTTTTTACACACAAATTAATCTCAATGCAATTGGATGTTGGAACACGAAAAAAGCATTTACGATTGAGAATCAAGGAATTGTGGCGCGGGACGATGATACGATGATCTTTCCGAATGACCTGAGGATTGATAGCAATGGAAATTTGTTTGCGCTTATAAATCGCTTGCCAGTTTTTATGTTTAGTAATTTAAAGTCGGATGAAAATAATTTTCATATAATGATGGGAAAAACTAGTGAAATAATCAAAGGATCTGCATGCGAGGCTTAATCTGAAGAGCATTTAGCTGTGTTTAAGTTTCCAAATCTCATTATATTTTTACAGTGTTTAAATTCTCAATGAAGTACTTTTCAACATCACACTTCATACTTTTGAATGAATAAATATTATGCATGCATGTAAATTCACACTTTGAGAGCATTTTTATACTGTCAAGGAGCGGAAAAAAATTCCTTTCATGTCATCATTTAAATACGTTTTGATGAATAAATGCTGCAACCTATTGCAATTTTATGACGTGCGAAAAAAAATTTCATTACTAAAATATTCCATGAAAAATTGTACTTAATGTCATGAATTCATAAAAAGATGCGCGCATTTGTTTCATTTCTTTTTGCTGTCTTATGTCTGTTTGATTTAAATATAACGAGAAGAAACGGTTAGCGAGTTTTCAGTACAATATGATCTATTTTGGTGTCATTTTGGGATTTTTTAGATTTTATTCTATATTTAAGAACTTTTTGATGATGAAATTAAGATCTTGCCACTTTTCTCTATAATATGTATTGCATCTTGACTCAAAATTCAAATTCCTCGCCTTAAAAACTTTAAAATATCTTTCGAGGTGAGAAAAATTTCGCCCGCCATTTTGAAATTTTCAACGCAATTATTTTCATAAAATTCAAATTGCAAAAATCTGTTATTAATTCTTAATCTTTGAGTCTTCATTCTTAAAGTGAAAATCACGCCTATCAAACTTCATTTCAATTCTCCTTTTCTTCTCAAACTCACTTAGCATACACACGACATCTAAAAGTTAATGCATGAAAATCTGCAAATGGTTTCCATAAAGTGATAAATTTAATTCAATTTGATGACTGTTTTGCGTATCTTTTGCCTCTCTCTTTTCCTCATTTTCCTTTCATTTCATATAGCATAGCAGTCAGGTCGTTGAAGAAGTAGAGAGTGTGAAATGACACAGTGGAAAAAAATGAAAGTAATGTGAATTGCTTTTTATTTCGTTATATATGTACAATTTTGTGAATGTGGTAACCATAAAAATGACGATGGTAAATGCCTTTTTATGAAAATTTAAAACTCTACTGCGTACATTTCAAGCTTCGAATAAGAAATGGCATTATGCTTGCCATTCAGAAATGGTTAGAGGGGGGAGTAAAGATGGGAGTGAAGGAAAGAATAGCAACATCAACAAAAGTTGAAATTGAGGAACTAGCAGGAAAGACATATAGAGCTGTGGATTGAAACGTATTTATGTATTGAATTAGCTTTAGTTGTGAATTTAACGGACTTTTTGAATTTGAATTTATTACAATAGCTATTAACAATTCCAAATGTTTAACAACCTTTTAATCTTAGATCAAATATAAAGGAAGCAAAATTCTATGTAGCAATATGCTTCTTATTCAAAAGCATTTACAATAATTGATCCAAAGCTATCCAATCCCTACAAAACGCAATAAAATTCAACAATCAAAAGTGAGCATGAAGTTGCACTTCTCTCACAAAATAATCTCTTAAATTGTCATAAATAACGTTAGAGAAGTTATTTTTTGGATAAAAAAGGCACTTGAAAATGCTATATCATATTAAGCTCATCCAACCAGTCACTGTCTCTCTCATGCATACTATAAAAATTGCGTATCATTGCGATTATGGTGAATTTATTGTGAAAATAATATTTATCCCGCAATAAAAAAAAGAAGGGCAAACAGAGGAACTCTTTAGCTTCCATCCTTTTGTATGTATGGCAAATGGATGTATTCATATATGTGGCATATTTTGTTGCTAGATCTTTAACTTAGAGATATCTTACATTCGCCTCAATAATATCTTCTTGATGTCACCCCGAAAAGCAATAAATAATGTAACAGTTGTACAGAGGCAGTTAGACATTAAACTATGGTAGAATATTATAAAGTAGGATAGAAAAAAGGGGAGCAGAAATTTCGAGGAAGGGTTTGCTGTCTCTTCTTTTAAAGATGTCATGCGGAAGGAAGAATATTATGTCTTTTCCTATTTGAGCTGTTATTTTTAGAAGATCTAAGAAGAATCGAGATGCAAAATGTTAAAGACTATTGTTTTTGTGTACTTTTTTCATGGAACTGACAGACTGAATTTGTTTTTTGTTAAAAATAGAATAGAATGCTAATATTTGGATTCATATACTTTACAGTTCAACTTTTGCCATTTTTTTGAAAGAATTGGTGCTGGTTTGAGCATTGTTTTGACTTTTAGAACCTTAAAAATCAAAATAAACTTTTCGAGGCGGAGAAAAATTGTAAACATAATTGACGTTGGATATAAAAATTTTGGGTCCACAAAATATATGCAAAACAGCGCCTTAAACTCCAACAAAGAACTAAAATCTTCAATTGAGAAATGAAATTTAGGGGTTTTCATTTCCATCTGTGAATTTCAAAATGAAATAATAAACCCAATAATTGTACTACTTAGGCAGATATCCTCTCATCGGAATAAATATAAAAGAAAAAAATTTGTATGGGAAAATTTAAAGATGTTGTCTATTGCTTCCCTCACACCAAAGAGCACTCACTTAAAAGGATAAAGTAAATTTCCTGAAAATTATTTATATTGAACGAAACGGATATGAAGGAAAATGAGGAAATGACTTTATCGCACTCGTTTGCTTCTTTCTTATGTTTTTCATGCTAAACATTCTTACTGCATTAAACTTTCTTATTGTGCTCTAATTTCTTTATTTTAAGATACTCTCTCGAACCCAACACTTTAATGCAAAGGATTCACTTCCTTCGTTTTCTTTTTGATACATTTTATGTCTATGAAGCATAAAACTTAATCATCTTATTACAAATTAATGATTATTAATCACTGTAGGAAGAAGAATAATGAACAAAAAAAGAAGAAAGATGAATGCGGATGAACTTTATTAATGTGTAATCGATCTATCCAATATGGATACTATGAGGAAAACTTTTTTTTGATCTTTAAAGCAACAGCTTGTGTGGAGGTTTAAGCAATGAATATTGAAGTTTTAGTCATAGCTGTGTGGTCGTTTATTTAGGAAAATAAAAATCTGTGCTCGACTTAGAAAATAAGACGTGAACAGAGCTTGGCTGTTCCTATGTGATTTATGAGCTTAATCTAGCAGAAGAGAATCTGGGGGATTGAGCCATATGTAAACGAATCTGTCAGTACCTCGGTAAGTGAGTTTGTAAGTAACAAAGCGGATAACTTTGACCTTTTTTTAAGGACATCTTAGTCAACAACATTGTCAGATTTTTAACACGTAAAAGAAGTGGCTCTAAATGCAGATCAAACAAGATATTGATGGCTGTAAGCTAACATTCATTGGGAACAGCACCAGAGTCCATAACCACAAATGTGACAAGATATTTATTCTAATGCCAATGAAAGATTTAATCCTCCATTGAGAAAAATCACTTCCAAATCCAATTTCATTCCAACAATTTTCTCATTTTCTGCTTCATTTGTCAAGAAATTAATCCAATTCCACTGTCCATACTTAACAAAACAAATCATGCACGTTCCACTGATTAAATTTTCTTCGAATCTCTTAAACTAGCTCAACAGACATAATTAATAAAAATTCAAGAAGCAACATCATTAATATCCGATTCATTTTTCTCTCCCTAGTTTTTATGAGATGATGAATTTTCATACATTTATACATGATAATAATCAATAAGGAATTAATTCCATTCTTTTTCCGATTCAATCGAAATTATCCCCTTCATGCAATCTAATCAAAACATTTCAATTCATTCAGGGCTATTTTGATTGTAATTTAGGGATTGATCATAAGTGATGTCTTTCAAAATTAGGATTATTGAGGTTCCTCAACTTTAATCCTTGCTCGATGACTACCCTTAAGATAACATAGAGCCGAATGTGCGAATATTCAGCTTATTAGTGACTTCCTATGTCACTTTAGTGATTCAACTGGTCTTTAGAAACTTTAATTGCTATATGATGACCCTAATAACTTATGAGTGACTCAAATGACTCTACTGTAGCCTAAACAGCTCTATAGATTTTCAAAGCTCAAAATTAACCCTAAATGTCTCTTATAGTAATCCACAATGGCTTTTTAGAGACCTCCTAACGATTCTATAGTCCCCTGCAGCTCTAGTTCCTCCCTTCAAAAAATCCACACCGTAAATAAACGACTCATCAAACTTTGATGAAAGCCAAAAATAGGAACAAGACAAAGAAGAAGAAGAATCAAAATTGATTAATATTTCATCGCATGGACATGACTTGATGGAATAAAAGAAGAAGAACAATAAAAGAATATAAATCGTTAACATATTTATGAAAACGGAAAGAAAAACAAATCAATGATTTACAGCCCCAAATGTACTTAATATTCCATCATCATCAACGACATAATGATTGACCTGCTCAGCATTCACAAAAAATAGACATTTTTTGCAGCATTCGACGTGAAAAAAAGAATCTGAAGATGAGGATGAAAAAAAATCAGAAGTATTTGTTTGATGAGGTCTATGCGGTATGTATGAGTGACAATAAAAACGATTTGATATCCAATTGTGAACATTTTTGGTGCTGGTGCTCATTAACATTCCCATGTCGAACTTTTTTTGTGTCTTGTTTGTCGCAGTTTCATAACAAACATATGAATAATGCACGCACGTAAGTTTGTAGAGGTTTCGAGTGTTTTTTGAGGGAAGAAATATAATTTTTTGAGTTTAGAGACTTATTAAGTCGGTCTCCAGATACTACGAACTATGACTGGTTTTGACAGAATTGTTAAATTAATTATACGAAGACCTGAATTCAATTCTAATCAAAAGTTTGATAATAACGGAATTCTAAAATTCAAATATTTGCATCTTTAAAGAGATGCGATCTTTTTAGCATCAATTCAAGTGAAACTCATTGTTTACATTTAGTTCAACTAGGGGCCGTTCACTTATTACGTTATGCAAAAAACGACTTTTTCTCACCCCCCACCCCCCTCCCTTCCTTGTTACAATATGTTACAACTCACTACCCCCCACCCCCCTCCCTTCCTTGTTTCAATATGTTACAACTCACTACCCCCCCCCCCCCCACCTCTTAACGTTCAAAATTTGAAAAATATTTTTGGTGTTAATTCATGAACTTTTTTTTAAAAGACAGACCCCCCCCCCCCCTTTGTTACATTTTGTTACAATTTTTCAACCACCCCCCCCCCCCCCCCCCCCCCTTAAAATGCAAACGTAATAAGTGAACGGTACTAATATTGAATTAAAGAAGAACTAGCTGACAGATTGTTA